AGAGAGAGAGAGAGAGAGAGAGAGAGAGAGAGAGAGAGAGAGAGGAGGGACCAGGGGACACACTAAGAACTTGTGGACTCGTGAGTGTTATTTTGGATATCTGCGTTAGATTCAGTTGAACTGAATGTAGCACAGACTTTTGGCCAGATTCATCCCGAAATAGTCTCCCCAAAGTAGTAGTACTAGAAGAAGAAGGAGAAGAGGGCAAAGACGACGACGAAGAAGAAGGACAAGAAAGTTTGGGGGAGGAGGAATGCCAGGTCGCACGAAGAAATACACGGGGACCTCTACCAAACGGGAAAGAACTTCGACCCCCATTTTCTGACTCACTTTCTGTTGGAGGCAGTTTCTGATCGGCTCTATGATTCTCTGGGACTCCTGTCTTTTTTCTCCCTCGTTGATAAATTTGGATACCAGGTCCAGCGTCTCTCAGATCAAGTACCCACTCCACACTTCCCTTCGTTACAGTCAAGGGACCCAGAGACAGTGGTGTTGATTGCTCTTTGTGCCCAGGATATTCAACCCCTCTACCCTTGCTCCTATGTTTCTGCTACCTTTACTAAAAGGGGTGACGGCCTTGAGATATTATCATTGAGCTGACCGGCCCCAAGCAATTCATTAGTAGTCGGTTTTACTCGTCAAGTTCCATCATATGGATTCGAAGACAGGTCTGTATTTCAACAGTTCATGGGTGTACCCACTGAGATAGGCTCTTGGGTTTCTGCTACCTTTACTATTTCTCTATGAGTTTCTGCTACCTTTACTATTTCTCTATGAGAACTGAATGTGTTCCTCTTGAACCAGTGGACCATGTCATCTGGGTAATACTTTTCAATCTGTTGCCTTAGATAACCGAGGGAAAAGTTTTAAAAACTATGCCCTGGCCCCTAGGATAATTCCTGCTAATGTATTGAATTTCAGCAGGGTACTTCGGCGATGTGGCTATACTGTGAAATGTAATCCTTGGCTACATTGTTATTTTCAATTTTATTGACGAACCAGGTGAATGACCAAGCAGTTACGTGTGGAATGTGGCAACTTCTCGATTGCTCTGCTTGCCTTATCTATAGCGTTAGCGCACAAGTGCTACATTGCTGATATGTGGCTGGGGATTCGTTTCGAGTTGTACTGCACGTGCATTCTCTTTATCCGATTATCAGTATTTCTATCAGTTTATTGCCACGTCCTCACTAGTCCCGATATCACGATCGCGCACTGAGGTGTTGCATACCATATCTCGTCTTATTTATCTTTATCTTTCGTGTTTTTGTTTTCACAACTTATCTCTGAGGTTATATTGTATGTACGCGCGAGGAAGGGGAAGGGGAAGAGCGAGGGGAAGTCGTTTTCTGTGTACTTCGACGATGTGGCTATACTGTGAAATGTAATCCTCGACTATATTCAATATATTATATTGTTATTTTCAATTCTATTGACGAACCAGGTGAACGACCTGGCAGTTACGCGTGGGAACGCTTACCTGGCGCTCTGTGGCAACTTCTCGATTGCTCTCTCCTTGCGTTATCTATAGCGTTAGGTCACGAGTGCTACATTGCTGATATGTGGGTCGGGATTCGCTTTGAGTTGTACTGCACGTGCATTCTCTTTATCTGATTATCACTATTTCCATATCTCGTCTTATTTATCTTTATCTTTCGTGATTTTCACTACTTATCTCTGAGGTTCTATTGTATGTACGCGCGAGGAAGGGGACGGGGAAGAGGGAGGGGAACTTGTCTTCTCTAAACTTCGACGATGTGGCTATACTGTGAAATGTAATCCTCGGCTACATTGTTATTTTCAATTCCTGTTTGACATCCCAAGTTGCGTCATTGCCTCTGGATGTCGTCTAAAAGTCTGGACTCCTATAATTGGCTTTCCCAGTCTGGCTTATGCCAAGAAGCCCTACTAATCGGCGCTATACCCAGATAGCATTTTGTACCTCTGTAGGCAGACCCATCTGCTGTCTTGTTGGTGGTTCGGCATTGTGCCGGTCTTTCCACTGCAGTTGGAGTCCCGAAATAGTCACCACTTTGACCCAAGCCAGTCAATTATGGCAGAATCTGGTGTTGACTTCTCGTCCTCTCTCTGGTTGCTGCTGAATAACGGGCTTTGCCTGCTTCAATCTGAAATTGACGCCGCTTCAATCAATTCCTCGGTTGCTGCCCAGACTTTGTCTCTCTTGGGCATCTTGTTTTGTCCAGTGTGACGCTGCATCTTTCTTTCCTTCTTTTTCTTTCTTTTTCTTTGGGGTGGAGGTAGCGGCGTCGATCCCGTTGCCTGCATCTTTCTTTCCATATTACCCTGAGGGTCACTTTTTTTTATTGTGCCGTACCACATGATTTCGGGATTCTGTACGTGGGAAGGGCTGTTAGTCCAGAGCAGCATCTGGTTAGGCTGTTCAGGAAAGAGGGTAGAGAAGAGGCAAGACGATAAATTGCTTGCACGAGCGCAATGTTTTGTGGCGTCTTTGCATCCTATTAAGGCATGGTAGATGTCTTCTTGCACCTAATCTGAACAAACGATGGAGATATCCAAATTGTTGGGGTCATGCTTTTGTGTAGCCATTGGTTGACTGGGAGGGCTGCATATGTTATCATTCATTGGAGGCTTCTGATTTTAACTGGTCTTATTGTTTTTTTCGTTTGCGCAATGCCACCAAGGGCATTTGTTTTATGTGGGTGATTCTCGCCGGGACTTGCCCCTTCTATTTTTTTTGGGACCATGTTTCCTGTATCGTGGGACGTCGGTCTTTTGTTTTGAGAAACATCCTGTAATCTAGCTTTCCCGGGGCGTTCGGCCGGGCACACCCGGCCGGGCGCCCCAGGCACCCTGCCCGGGGTACCCCAGGCATGAAAAAAATCCACTCAGTTTTTTTTTTTTTTTTTTTTTTCCACAGGCATGGCTTTGCTGCTCTTTGGCAGTATGATCCAAATCCGGCCTCTTTCTTTTTTTTGCTGCATGTCG